ATATATAACTAAATACTACCATTTAATTAGTTCTGTTTTCACACTGTGACAACTTAAAGCTCATTTTTACTTCTATGTATTCAGTCATCTATCTGTCCTTTTTTTACCCTCTGGGTCACAGGGAGATGGTGCCTGTYTCCAGCAGCCAGCAGTCTTTGTGTGAAAGACCGTGGACAGTAGGGACACATGGAGAAAAACAACCACTCACACTCACATCTAAGGGACAATTTAGAGTTACCAGTTAACCTAACATGCTTTTGGTCTGTGGGAAGAAACCGGAGTAACTGGAGAAAACCCACATGTGGACGGAGAGCGTGGTTCACTCAGACGTGATTCTGTGACTTTCTCTAACCACTGTACCACTGTTTTGCCCTTAATTGGATTCAATAATTGGCAATTTTTCAGGTTTGAGTTACTAAAATTAAATTAGGGTCATTTTACAGAAAAAGTACAATTATTCGCTCATATTTAAAGAATTACGCAACATAATATTTCTAAAATCAAAAACAAAGCTAGTTTACAAGTCAGATCAAAGAAGTTAATATGATAAACTTGTTTTAAGTCATCAAAACGCAAAAACTTCCAAAACGCTCAGCAAACTTAAATAATCCTACAAAACCACAGTTTTATCTCAGCTTGTTTGTGGAACTAAGCATCTCCGATTGCTTTTGGAATGCCTGAGTTATAATGATTCTGTTGGGGTTTTGCAGTGCTGCTTTATTAAATCAAACGTTTAATTGATACACATATTCAAACATTCAACAGTTATTAAAGCTGACTTGTAACAGCTGGCCCAGGGCCAGTTTGTTTTCACTCCTGAGCCATATTTCTGTCTGTGTAACAAAGATGTATTTCAAAGAAAAGTCAAGTTTAGCAAGAGCCTGTGGGGCACAAAACACAAGCTTTTCTGGGGTTATTAAACAGATTGATCAATCATCGCAGATTGTTATCTGGACACAAACACGGGAACACGTGTGTGTAGTCTAAAGCAATGCAAATGAAGTCGTAAAAAACAGCTAAACTTTAAATAGACGCCTTTTTTTCCATTTCTCATTTATTTCATGGTTTTATTACACCGTGGCAAGCTAGTGCTGCACTGAAACTAGTCCAGGAAATGTTTGGAGATTCACAACAACTTTTAGCATTAACAGTCCATTAACTGTGTTCATCCGAATCATTTATTATTTGCCTTTGGGTCTTTCTATGCCAATGACAGTTTAACAGTTTACAAATCCTCTCAAAACACTACATAATGACAAATGTCCCCCGTTTTTGTCCTCTGAGGTTTCTGGGTTACACATTAAAGTATCATCTGTGCTACTTATGTGCAATGAATGACAGGGACTGCAGCTATATCTTGATTTTTCATTGCTGACATTGTGGCTTGTCGTTTGCCTCTGAGAAAATGTGCTGCTGCTGCTGCTACATAATAGAGCCAGGTGTGGAGCTATTCCTTCAATTCATTGAGAGGAAGGTTAACAGGCCTCCAGCCACTTGGAGGGAAAAGCAAAGCAGATGGAAAGGTCAGTTATAAGATAAATGTCAACATCTGTGTCTTAAAAAATATTAATGTGAAGGTAACTAAAGGAGGGACCAAAACACAGAAGCTATGTGCGTAATTAAGAGCCTCAGCTTTTGGGAGTGCAAATCGCATGCACGCTCTGATTAATGGCAGCAAATATAATCGAATTGATGCCAGCCAGAGGGCATAAAAGAATCAAACTAAATATTTGAGGAATGACTTGCATGCTTAAAAATAGCCAGCCAGCGGAAAGAATAGAAGGACCTTCCGAGCTGAGGAGAGGGAAGAGGAGAAGGGATAGATCAATACACATTGCCTCAGTCATCTGGGCATCCAGCCCACAGTAATTCAGGTGCTGTCAAAGCATAATTGAAGAATGACGCACAGGGAGTATATACACTGAGCTGGGGGATCAGGTTACAGCAGGTCTGTGGAGGCCTTTCAGCTTGAAAGAATGCGCACATGGACTTTTGCTTTGTGCCAAAACCAATACAACCTCGAGAGGAAAGCGCACTTCCACTAATGATCCTTTTACAAGTTACACAGTGGCACAGCGGAGTTACCAATGATCTCCTTCAGAGATGCAGAAAGAGCTTAAAGAAACAAAGCAGTGAGGAAAAGCCTGTTTTTAAATGTGGACGTGAGTGTATAGGGATCAGATCAGCGGTTAATACCACTGATGGGTAAAGTGACTTTAAGATCAAACAAAGGTGTGGCTGCAACATATTTTCACTCTGGCAGCGTCAGGGTTTGAACCATCGATCAAACATTTTACATGTAGGAACTTGGTTTTCTTATTCGCTTTGACAAATCAATGATGTTTGTGTCACATTTTCAGCGATAAAAGCACTGGAGCTTTGAACGTGAATTCACATTTTCACTTTGTGCTCTAAATACAGCTTTGTTTATTATTTTTCTTAGAATGTGAATTTGAGGCACGCAAACAGCTTGTAACAGGAACAGTTTTATTTGGTAAATCCAATCTGTTCCTAGCAGTTTATTTGCTTTTCGGCATCTCGTGCAGAGGAGCTTTTAACCCCAAAACAGATTGTGATAACGCTACATCACTGAGCATTAGGGTCAGCAGCCCCCTCACAGAGACACAGAGCAACCACGGATACAACTCTTCCACCTAGCAAAGAAAAAAGTGCAGACATTTTTAATGAAGAGAAAGACAGATGAGATTCTGAACTCATATAAAATTGAAGTTTGATGGGCATTTTTCCAAATTAGCAGCAGATTTGAATTTCTTTTTTTTTAAGCCATGGGATTTGTATTCTTCTGCAGGCTCACTGCCCAGAACTCATCAGTCAGTGAAATGATGATCTGTGACAGCAATTATGTTAAAAAGGTGGACACATGTAAAGGTGCTTCAAACTGAAATCAATACACAAGGGCTTTCATTACAAACAGACAACTAATCAATACCCGGGGAGCAGTGCAGCTTACCAGAGTAAGTTTTACTCAACTTCCTGTGAGTCTGGACAGGCAGTGGTCTGTTGCATTATTCAAAGTCTGCTGGTTAGTAAGAGCAAAGGTGAATAATTGATCTCTCCTCCTGGCTTAGATGTACACTGAGGCTGCAGCAGGCCCTTCTCACAGAAACCTCACCCTCCCTTTCTGTAACAGTAGGTGGAGCAAAAAGGTCAAATAGCAGAACCGTTAAGGAAATACAGTAACTGACTTGAGGATATGCAAATGTGACAATGGTTGAACAGTTAAAGCTGCAAATCAGACGTTTTTTTTTTTTGTTTGATTTTTGAAGTGTTTTTTATATGTTTATTTTTATAAAGGTGTTTTTGTTTTGTTGCACAAAGCAGGTGAGTTAGGCTATTTTGTTCTCCTTTTATTTCCCCTCCCTCGAGTTGAAAACTTCACACAAACTTTGCCAGTCACGAGTAAGAGTTGTTAAAAGTTGCATTTGCACTAATCAGTTTTTTAATGCATGTGCTTGAAGATTTAATGGACTTCCTGAGTTCATTAAATTCTGTAAAAAAAAAATAAAATAGAAGAGGAGCAAGAAATGGTTTTTTTTTAAAAAAAAAAAGCCTTACCCGTCCGATGCTGACTCCTTTTCACTTTCATCCACTCAAAAGTTGTCTCCCTCCCATCAGCTCCCTTCCTGTTCCAGTTTTCCACAGAAAGGGGGGTTTTGGAGTCCTTGTTGGGAGAACTGTGGATTTTCTCTCCACGTGGCTCCAAACAGAGTTGCTGAAACTCCTTGCTTTCGTTGTTGTTGTTGTTTGAGTCTCCGCGTCCTGGAGAGCCGCGCGTCCTGCACCGCCAGGGGACGCGGGACGAGGCCGATGTGGAGAAGCCCCCGGGAGGCTCACGCGGCGTTGGAGTTGGAGGAGGAGGGAGAGGAGGAAGAGGAGGGCTGCACGGAGTCAGGAACGGTGGGTAAAATCCAGGGGCAGCGTCCACTTGCAGCGTGTGGGGACCACGGAGCTCGGGATGAGTCCCGCCTGCGTCCAGCAGGTCCAGGTTTCTGACCTCTTCTGCTCGGCAGGAGTCAGTGAGCAGAGGGCTGGTCCCCCCTTCGGCCGTTAACTCATGATAGGAAGTCATTATCACCTTCCCCCCCACCACCACCACCGCCGCCGCCGCCACCACCCTGCATAATCATTGGACGGGAGTGCACTTTATGCCCGGCCTCTCATGCGTCCTGCAACGCATGGTCAGGCGGCCGGACGACATTCCTCAGAGGACACGCAGTGGTCCCCTGATTGATGSAGATGACGTGCCCTCCTGGTCTCGGCCAATAGCTGGACATCTCTGTCATCAGGGAGGACACTTCTGACTGAGAGGAGCAAACTAAGGATAAATAAATAAATATCAAACTTTACWGAAACTATTGGACTCAGTGGGCCCTCTCACCTGTTCAGACAGGTAGGCCGTGACGTCATCAACAATTGTGTTTGGAACAAAGTTTTATTTTAAAGAAGGCTAATTTTTCAGGACAACAATAAAAACTTCCAAAAAAAGAAATTCTTTTCAGAACTAAATTAGCATAATACAGGCCTACACTGATGTTGTTAATGGATTATGTAAATGTTGCKGCAGCTTCATGAAAAAACCCGAGGCCACGTTTAGCAGAGGGCTCGGGTCATGTGAAAGGCACACTTAATGAGTTCAGAGGTCGAGTCCGGTGGTATTTAGAAGTTCAGTGGCAGCGGATTTGTAATTAGCCTGGATTTAAAATAAATAAAATATAAAGTAAAGCCTCCCTGCAACGTTTAGGTGCTACACAGTTTCTCCACTAAACGTTTAAACCAAGAGTCCATTAAAAATCTGTTTTATRTTTGTCAGTTTTATGTGCAGTCTGGAATGAATCAGTAATGTAGAAACAATAAAGTGTCTGAAATAAATGTCAGCAGCTCTACTATTTTTTTTTTACATCTAAAGCAAAATAAAAACACGAAGGAGCTTCACAGAGCAGCACAGGTCTGACCTACATTCACGTGGCTGTAAATAATTTCATATTAATACACTTAATAAGGTCCTGGTTGTGTTYATTTTTATAAACTTTTTTTACAATGTAGATTCAATTCAAAATTATGAAAAAATGGAGCAAAAACACAAATTATTTTAAACTTTATCAATCATTGATTGACTATTTTTTATTATAATATCATAAAAACTATGTTTGTTATATTTCTAAATTTTTAACAGTTCTCTTTTTTGTCTGTGTATTATC